CAGTTGGAAATAGGCATGTTAAGATCACATTACATGAAATTTTCATGCTACACATTCACATCATGATCCATGTCATTCAGTTGTATTGGCATACGTGACCATTGATGGGTCGAGTTACGATAGTTGTAACGAAGGCCGCTTTGATCCTATGTTGGTATGATTGATGGACCAGATTGGTTACAGATACATTTCGGTAATGACAGCAAAGTTGAGCTCATACAATTATTTTGCAAAGCATAATTATAAGATTACACATATAGCCCAAGTGGGAGATTGTTGGATCCTTAATTCAACGTTGGGCTTATATGTGAATAATTATGTGTTGCGGGCTGTCATATAAGGTTAAGCCTAATTAAAAATTTAAAAGTGATCTACTAAGGTTTAGGTATTTTGGGCTTTAATGTATCTAATAGGGTGTGGGTCTTTAATGTGTAGAGACTTAAGGGTAATTTCTATTTTTATGATGGGCTAAAATAGAAATACCAAAAGATAACAGGGAAGTTATCAATATATAGCAGTTATGGTTCCCAGATCACACGTATCATTTCATTCATTCTGACATCCCATCATTAGAAAGAGTACAGAGAGAAATTTAAAGGGTTCTCTAGGAAAACATGTTGATCTGGAAGACAAACTGCACGACTCTAGAGAGAAATCAAGCAATATGGATTCAGGTACGCTTCCGCTTACAGATTTATTAATTCTTGATGATCTAACATGAATGTTCTTGGTTTTTGAGTGGTGATTTTCACCAAATCTTTGATTTCTAACATATTATTCTCTGAAAAATGTTTCAGGGTATTTTAAAATTCTTCTCGATGAATAATCTATTGATTGTCCATTGATTTCTTGATAATTTGTTTGAAATATGCTATTAAAATTACGATCAATGCGTTTCTTTTTTTTTTTTCTTTTCTTTTTTCAATAGTTGAATCCTTTGTTTCCTTTTTGTCTGTATGTATGCATTCCGCTAGTTGCAACTCTTTCTTTCTTTCTTTTTATTTTTTATTTTTGGCTGAATCCTTTGTTTATTTTGAATTGCTTGACTCTTTCATTTTTGTCTGTAACTTTGTTCTGCTCGTTGTTACCTTTCTTTTTCTTTTTTGTTGAATCCGTTGCTTTGCGGTTGGTAAATGGGCAGAAAAAAAAAAAGAAGAGAAAAAAAATGTCGCTACATTGGTTCAATATATAGAGAAGCCTCTTTATTGACTGTTTGGTTATATTTTTTAAATGTTATGAGGATAGTTATTTTTAAAAAAAAATATGAATATTGATATTTTATTAATATTGAAATAAGTAATAGTATTTTTTTAAAATAATATCGTAGTTTATTTTTTGGTCTACTATTCATTATTCTCATATACAACCAAACACAATAATATATTATTCCTAAGAATTTGAGAGAGGATTCCTGTATGCAGCCAAACATGATAATGTAAATTTCCTCAGACTTATATTACCTCCTATCACTTGTCTAGGAATATGATTCCTACTGATTACTGCGTACCAAACGCTCTTATAGGTGTTTGTGGAGATATATACTGACTAAAATAGGCATACTTTAGTATACATATTTATAGTTAGTTTTATTTCTATTTTTAAAGTCAATACTCATAACATTTTTACCCCCACAATATTAAAAAACATTTATTTTAATTTTTATTATTTAAAATGTTTCTAAAAGCTGAATTACTTTTATTCAAAGAGAAAAATTATTTATCTATTAAATTTCTTATGGCTTGTTTCGCTCACGCGTTTAAGTCAGTAATTTTGATTCTGAATTCAAATTTTGTGAGATAACCTATTGACAAGAACTTTTTTGATTCAAATTTTTTGTGAATAAAAAGTGTTGTAGCAAAATCATAATTAGATTTCAAACGCGTGAAATAAACGGGTCCTTATTTATTGTTCATATTTTAAAGCATTTTGGTAATTATTGAAAGTATTCAAGTAAAATTTAGCACAACATACTTATTAAAGATTTTCAATTTTTAAATAACTATTTAAAAACTTTTTTTTATTATTTGATACAAGAAAAATAAAATGGGTAGTTGAGTATTAAGTTTTATTATTAAGTATTTTATTAAATTTAGATAATGACAGCAGAATTGACTATTCAAAAGCAACCTTTGATCTGATTCTCATTATTTTAGTAAATTTAGATAATAACAGTAGAAGTGACTGTTCAAAAGTAATCTCTGATCTGATTCTCAAAATTTGATGTCCCAAACATGCCTTCTTGTTATTGGATCCATACCAAAAAATCTAAATAAAAAATGTTCCCGCTAATAGATTCTCTCATAGAATTTAAATTTAAAATCAGAATCGTTAACTAAAACCCGTGAACCAGTCAGGACATTAGAGACAAAAAAGAACAGCGGCGACGCTGAACCCAATCGCCTCTGCCAAAACCAACGAAGTTCATTTTTTTCAGCTCAACACTCGGTTTAATGATCCAAAAACCGAAAGTGTTCAGACGTTGGAGTCGACCAACACAAAACTAGAGATTAGCAAACGATTTCACAATTATAAGTCAATCCTTTGAATTTGCGATTATTAAATGAAAAGCTCAACTAGCTACATATTAAAAATTTCGCTTAAATATGCAGTTTGGTTTACAAATTTTCTTCTCTCTTTGTTAACCTCTATAAATTTGCTAGTCAAGAGGTCAATAATAATTTCTGTACATGTGATTTTGATCAAGAACAATAATCTTGATAACAAATAGACTTCTACCATAATCCATCTACGATTCTCTTCAGATTCGGTTCTAACTCTGCCCGCCTCGCAATGTTCAAGAAAACTTCTTCAAGAGTTGTCTGGCCAAGTTGAATGTCTGCTATACCGAGTTCGCTTTCTTTGTCTTGGAGCTCCGCAAAGAAATTCTGTTCAAAATTATATCAAAATTGTGAGAAAAATATTTTAAAGCCAAATTTGGAAATATATATAAGGGGAAAAGGATAATAAAACTGCAGGCACCCTCTTCGCTTTGATTTTTTTTTTGGCACTTAATCCAACGGCCGTATTTTATTGTAGAGTTTTTTTTTCTTCTTTTTTAAATACATATATATTCAACGGACATAAATAAATGATGAAATTTTTGTTCATAATGTCAAAAAAGAAGATAGAAAAAGAGATAGGCCTAGAGATATATGATTTTACGATAACTGTTTTGCAGCAACAGAATGATTCAATTGATTTTGTGATGGTATTTTTGAACTGATTTTTGTTTCGGTAACCCCTCTTTTATTATTATTATTTTTTCCTTTCATAAATAATATCTTCCTCTTTCCCCGCAGTTGCTCAGTTAAGATTGTTTAGAATCTTCCCGGAAATGCAGTTAAGATTCACCATTAGATAGTTCAATTTTTTTTTAATTCATTTGAAAATTCGATATTATTTGCCAAAAAAAAAAAAAGAAACGAAAAAAATCGTTATTGGCATCTATCTGCAATACCGTTAAGATTCACCAATATTTATTTCGAGATTCATAATAGGTTTAATTTCAAATTTGGTCCTCGAAAAATAGGGGTTGTCTCATTCTGTCTCTGAAAGTTAAAATGACACAAAACTGCACCCCAAACATTTTATATGTTAACAACTCCAACCACACTAGCCATTTAGCAACTCCAACCACACTAACTATTTCATGTTTTTAGCCAAAATGACTAATTATTTAGTTTTTTTTAAAGCTTTTCTTCTCTCCAACTATTAGCTATAAATGATTAGCTATTTTAGAGAATGTCTTCCACTAGCTAAATATAGCTAATATGAAAAAACTAGCCATTTCATTTTTTGTATTATTTTATTAATCTTTCAACGGTAATAAATGTAAAGATTCTTTTGTAAATTTAATATAATTATTTATATTTGAAATTCAATAAATATTAAAATAATCTACGTTTACCTAAAATAAGGAGTATAATTGGAGTGACTCATAAAAAAGTCGCTAGCTAAAATATTTTTTTAGCTATTTTAGTTAGAATTTAGCTAAAATTTAGAGCGTTCAAGCTCTCTAAATTTTAGTTAAGTTTTTAGCTAAAATAGCTTTTAGCAACTTTTAGATGATCCACTCCAACCGTATTCCCTATTTTGGTTAAATATAGATTGTTTTAATATTTATTGAACTTATAATATAAATAACTTTATTGAATGTAAAAAAGAATCTTTACATTTATTGTGGGTTGAAAGAATAAAATAATAGCAAAACAAATGGCTAGCCACTTCTTGCTAGCCATATTTAACTAGTGTGAAATGTATTCTCTAAAATAGTTAACAATTTAGCTAATGGTTAGAGTAGAGAAAAGTAAAATTATTAGCTATTTTGGCTAAAAAAATGAAGCAACTAGTATATGATTAAAGATGCTCTTATGGATAAAACGTAGATCACTTGATTGATTAATAAAGATAATATAATAAATTTAAACGAAATAGACTAAAAACACTAACAAATTTAAAAATCATCGCAATTTTTTTCTCCCTCTAAGGTTCTAACCCTAAGTACCACCTTTTCTTTTGCTTGCAACCCCCGCATTATCATTGCTTTCCTATATTTCTTTTTACCAACTTGTCAAGTGGCCGGCATGTAATTGAAACTGTTTAAAAAATAGGTATTTCAGTGATAGAAGTATTAAAATTATAACTTAACAATTTTTTTCTCCCTCTAAGGTTCTAACCCTAAGTACCACCTTTTCTTTGCTTTCCTATATTTCTTTTTACCAACTTGTCAAGTGGCCGGCATGTAATTGAAACTGTTTAAAAAATATGTAGTATTAAAATTACAACTTATGAAAAGTTGAGTGCCATTTTTGTGTCATTTAAATTATAGAGGATAAAGTGAGACAACCCTTATTTTTTGGGGTCAAATGTGAAAATAACCCTCCATAAAAAATTACCATCAGCATGTATGAAGAATACCTCATATATGTCAATCAATTTCAGAAATGGTGAGTATGCAACACTTAGGTCAACGTCTATAATCCTTTACTTTGAAAAATAGAGAGAACAAAAATAGAAGAATGATGATATGCTTACCGATAAAAGAACCTCTCTATCACGAGGAATGACAAAAGTCAAAAAGGATTTTTTCTCCTCCTTTGGCACAATATCTAACTTCTGTAAAAGAACATTCCCCAAGTTAGATTGAAATCAAACATTTATTTGCAAATTTTGTAGCATCTCTTTTCAAGAAATTTCTATTTTATTTTTTCATTGTGGAAAAAAAAAAAAAAACTCGCAACATATACAAGTACTGTCGGAAAAGAGCTATTTGTAATAACTATTAGTCATGCTGTAATCACATATGTGGTTTATGCATCAAAGTCGTCATATATTATGTGACAATTGGTTGTGCGGTGATAATCACTAGTGGTGATAAGTAATAATATTATAAACATTTCTAGGTAAATCCTTTCTCGACGTACTTACTTGCTCAAACAATTGCTTGACATCCTCACAATGAGCTCTATCAATTTCATCTCTACTTGAAAGATTTTGCCCATTGGCGCCACTTGTGAAAATCACATTAGCAATAAAACCAGCCCCGAACCGAGACTTCAATCTGATCGAAGTGCCAATGCATCGGAGCATACCCTTTACCATTATTCCGATCCTGTCGCCTAGTATGTCCGCTTCTTCCATCGAGTGCGTTGTCAGCACTATTGCGCGCCCTTTCTTCGCATCCTCAATGATGTCCCAAACATGCCTTCTTGTTATTGGATCCATACCAGTTGTCTGCACATCATATAGTCAATAACATAACTTGCAGATCAAGTAAGTGAAGCATAGGATGGAAGGAGTTCTAGTCTTCATACAGGTTCATCCAGAATGACCAATTTCGGATCGCCGATGAGGGCCATCGCAACACTAAGGCGGCGTTTCATTCCTCCGCTGTAATGGACAGCTCTCACTCTGGCCGCCTCAGTGAGGCCCGTCTCTGCTAATAACTTTTCGATAACCTGTTTTCCAACAATAATCAATAGCAATTAAATATTATTATTTTTTGATTTAAAATCACGACTCAATACATCGAAAACAACTCACGCAAACAAAGACCGAAAAGGAACTTTTGTTTCGTGTAGTCAATGGCAATGGCCAAATAGATACTTTAGTTTTGCGTAGCTTCTAACATACATACCGATTGTATTGACGTTGGATTTAGTCCCTTAATACTAGCAAAGATAAAGAGGTGCTCTTGGCCAGTCAGTGAGTCCCAAAGAACATCAAACTACGAAATAGACCCGAAGAGAAAGAAGGGTCAGTCTTATCCTTTTTAAGTTCTTGTTAAGATATGACAAACTTCATATCGTCAACAAATGCATGCAAATTAACATAGGGATGGAGAAGATGATCACCTGAGGACAAACTCCTATCAGTTTTCGGACATTCCACAAGCCAGTGGAGCTTCGTAGGGAATACCCGTAAATCAATGCTGTAAACAAATTATATTAAAAATAAGGCAAATTTCAAATTACCATAAGAAATGAACACTTTTATTACAATAGTACTATTACAAACGCTTCGAGTTTAATTTAGTTAATTAGCACAGGGAATTAATGTACATATAATAATTACCGTCTCCATCAGTCACCGATATGATCCCAGTCAAACAATTGATTGTTGTGGTCTTCCCCGCTCCGTTTGGTCCAAGTAGACAAAACAATTGATCCTTTACAATGTTCAGCCATAAACCCTGAATAGAAATGTATGGGTCAAAAATATCAAAAGCAGTAGTTATTTGAGTTGCGTGTTTAGCCTTATTGGTAACAAAAAGAATAATAATAACTATTAATAGAAACAATTCATGTTATGAACTCATTAATATTTTAATTAATTAGAGGACAAAACTCCTCTATGTTTCATTGATGGACCACGGAATTTTCAAAGGGATATGAAAGAAATGAAATGAGATGAGATAACACCAATAATCATCGAATTACTCATTCGAAAACAAAACAAAAATAAAGAAAAGGAAATAGAAGCGTAGAAAGTAACATTTGATTTTGTCATTCATGATGAATCCATTAACTATATATATACCTTGAGAGCATGGTAAGGTGAACGTTTCTTGCATTTACCGCAACTGGTCATGTCTATGGTACTAGGATATGTCTTTGTAAAGCCGCGTATTTGAACAGCAACATTTGTGTCCTCTATCTCCTCCCTAGTTTGTTGTTTCACAATTTTTTCCTCTTCCTGAACATCTTCGTCATCTGGAAGAATATGTTCTTCATGAGCAGAAGTCGAACTTGTACAACTACAGATGCCACTATCTGCGAAGCGAAAGGAGGCAAGTTTATTAAATAATCCTACTAACTAGACTTGCCAGCTTAAAAGACAAATTAAGTATTAGTAAAAATGCAAAAAATAATTGTGTTAATTTTCTGTATTTTTTTATTAAATCGAGGTTCTACGAAGCGATACCAATCGAAAAATTCTTGAATATGTTTTCGAGAGTAACTGAATATTCCTTTTCTACATCCGTTGGTGTACAACTTTTTCTATATTTAGTTCTCTGATGAAAAATAAAAAATAATGAAAACAGAAAACATAAATGTTACTCAAAGTTGATTTACTCACCTTCCAATTCATTTCCACCTTTCCCTGTCCAGTACCCAGGTTTTAGAAAATAAAACACTGGTTTCCTAACGCCGGATGCGTTTCGAATAACATTATCCAAGTAGATTGCGAATACAATCCAAAGAAAGAATGTACCCAGAAGCCATTTGTAAATATAATTCTGTCCATTAGAAGAATCTCCATTACATATATGATATATATATACTTATATGAGAAGAAAAAGTTATTTTATTTTTTCACGATTTGAGGTTCAGTGTGTTATCAACATACGTACCAAGGTTATCAGGCATTCTTCATGATCTGCACCGCACTTTGCTTTGCTTATTCGCCTATTGTAGACAACACCAGCATTATGTGGAGTTGCTTGGTTAAGCAGCAATAGAGCTTCAGCAAGAAGATTTGGCGGAAAAAACGACCAAACAGCTTGGTATACCTTAGAGATTCCCCGATCGTAAGGAAATCCAAATACTGTAACAAGCTGCAATTCCATAATGGAATAGTTTGTCAGATGTTACTTCTTTGGCCCGTTTGAGTCACGTATTTAAGTCAGTAATTTTGATTATGTATAATTAAACTTTGTGAGAAAATAATTGGCGGGAACGTTTTTTATTGAGAGAAAAATATTGTAATATAATCAAAATTATGGTTTCAAATGCGTGAAATAAACAGGCCCCTCTAGTAATATAACTTTTTTTTAAATTTCAAATGCGTGAAATAAACAGGCCCCTCTAGTAATATAACTTTTTTTTTTTAAAAAAAAATTTAAAAGAAGAAGAGTAGAATGGGGATCAATATCATGCCTGGGTCATTGAGCCAGCAATAAAAATGGAGAAACCAAGAAATGTAGATGAAGATGACTTGCTTATGAAGACAGATAACATGAAGGCGAATCCAAGCTGTAATAAGACATTGGAGAAATAGATAAGAAGTTACTATAAAAAAAGAGCCTAGTTATAATAATTAACTAGTATAGGCATATCATTTGTTGGAGACTACATTTCTATGAAAACCAAACATTGTCTAAATTAAATATGATGGAATCTGATCATAATCTAAACAATAATAGTAATAAAAAAGATTTTCATAATATTTTATTTTATTACGGTAGAATATATAATAGTTTGATCTCTAGAAGTGTTCTAAATTTACCATAAGTGCAAGCAATACTATTAATTATTACCATATTGAGTTGGAATAGGAAAAACACTAGAAATACGTGAGCAAAGCTATTGTTCAAGAAGAGCTCAAACTGAAACACGGAGCCAAAGAAAACAATGAAAAGCGAAGAAAGAAGTGTGAGAATTCCATCGAAAGTGAGCCATGACAACCAGTACGCTGAATCATAAAGGCCCATCATTGTCATCCCCTGCAGGAATATAAGACAAAAACATAATAAGGAAAAAGAAAATAAATTTTGCTAGTTAATTATTACATGTACTCAGTTACTCTATTGGAAAATAATATAGAACCTGACGAAGCTTTAGTTCCTTCTCGGAGACTAAGGAACTGATTTGAAAGACAAAACTGAACATGGCAATTGCAAGGAAACAAGCTGGTCCTCCTGAGGCCATCGCGGAGAACGTTTCTATCGCGGGATGAGCGAATTCTTTCAGCGCCATAACCCAGCTGAAGTCCGGCACTGAAGTAAGTGTGCAAAGTATCATGGTAGAGAAATGATAAATTAGTTAAGATTCGAATGTAGAGGGATCTAGAGATTTTACTGTGATGGTTAGGTAATCTCCAGTGCAAAGTGCAAATGTGAAAGCGAATATTATATTGGGGACAATTAAGTGAAAACAGCATATTTTGACAAATTTTATTTTGTATTATAATGCATATAATACTATTCCTAATTCTTGTCGTAAATTTTAGTTTTAAAATTAGAAAAGAAAAGTTTTAAAAATAAAAACTTTATAATTGTTTAGTGAAAAAATTGAAACATCATCATAATATGCTGAATCTAACACCAAATTGAAATGTAATCATAATATGCTGAATCTAACACCAAATATATAGCTAGTATGTGCTAAATTTGATGTTAAAAATAGCATTGTATGCGAGAATGATTATCAAAAAATGATATTTTATTAACATGCTCATATATACACGAAAAAAAAAAACATATTCATCTTAGACTTTTCAATTCTTGTAAACAAATTATGAACTGATCGAAAGCATATCTAAATATGCTTACCGATCCACGCATATTAACTAGTGCACTAAACTAACTAATACCTCCTATTAGAGACCTTGCAATTTCGCGCTCTGCAGCAATCTGAAGCGGGATTCGAAACTTAAATAAGGGATCTTCGTAACTCGACCGCTTCGCAATGGCAGTCGAATTAGTCTGTATTCCATAGCTGATTACTGTGGCGTTTCTCTCCCAAAAATGCAAAGCTCCAGGACAGTGCATGGGATTATCATTCAACCATTCATCTACTTCCGCAGTTGTACTAAACGATTTGACCTGCATTAATCATAAAAGTTGTACTACTTTTCTAACATTCATAAGTTTGATCACAAACCTTCTTCAAAAGTGACAATTGAGGAATTTTCCATTATTCAGTTAGTGGTATGTTTTTTTCCTTATTAAGAACGGAGCAGTTCTCATTTGTTTCGGTCATTATTTATTGAGAAGATTTTTTGCTTGTATATTTATTGAGAAGTTTAGGATTAAACTTTATGACCTGCATCTTTTAATGGGAATTTCGACTAAGCAAAAAAAAAAAAAAAAAAATACTTGCGTTTATATTTTCTCAATGTATAGTAACAAATTAAAAATAACAAACAACGAGTCACCTATAGCTATGACTTGATCATCACTTAGCCCTAACATATGAGATTTTAGTGGATGATTCAATCCACTTAAGTAAGCATCGCAAAGGGAATCATGTATGAAATTTGAATAAATTCTCATTGAAAACTGCTTACAGTTCAATAATAAATATATTTGAATTAAATTTAATTTTCATTTCCTTTCCTATATTTTTTCTAACTTCATTCTATGCGGCTATTACCTTACTAGAAGGAATTGGTCTCCGAGGATTGTTGGCCATGATTGCACTAACAATGCTTGTGATCCTAGCACTTTGGTTTCCGCTCCAGACGAAGTCGAAGCAGGGAAGCTTGATGTAGTTCTTGTCCTCGCATGGCGGGATTGGGGGAGAGATTAGAGGCAAAGGATCCATAACTGACCTGTTGTTTGAGGTCGAGGACGAGAAGCGAACCTCCATAGTGTTTTCAATGAAGAAGAGGATGAGGAAGAAGAAGAAGGAAGCAAAGAGTTGGAGAAAAGTAGCTCTCTTGTTCCGCCATGAAAGCAGAAGGTTTTTCCAGAAAAGCGCCTTGTATTGTTGGAGTAGCAATGGAAAACCGCTCTGTAGCTTCATGATATTGTTGTGAAGCTTTAGAGGAGAAATGGCATGACTATGTCAGGACTTAGGATACTATGGTAACAGCCGGCTCATTTTGCAGAGAGAAAATAGGGGGTTGGGCAGATTTTGTGGGGAGAGAGAAGAAAAAAAGAGAAAATATCTGCGGTTTTTTTGTTCTTGTTTTTGTTTTTGTTTTTGTTTTTTTGTTTTGCTTTTTTTTTTTTTTTAAATAAAATCCGGGGGAAGAGAGAGATGGAAAAGAGCTTTCTCCCTACGTACTAATACTAAATCATATATTCTTATTATTTTCTTGTGTCTAATTTTTAAATGATATCACGTTTACACACTTTTTAAATCCGAAAAGGTTCAAAACCCGCACAATTTGAACTCATAAACTAAACAATCCCTTAAGTATTATATCAGATACAAAATATGGGTTGGCAGCAACTCTGACGTTGAGTTAGGGCAAACAATTAAACAAGTGCAGTCTCATTTTGTTAGCAACACATTTTGATTTTGCACCTGGTCGTTTGGAAGAGATTAATGACTTGGCCTATTGTTTGATGTTTAGGTCGAATTCCTTATTTTCTTTTGATTTTGCGTTGTGTTATTCTCGCCTATATATGTGCTATAATTTAGTATTAATATTTTATCTTTATCATTATTTCTTTTATTTAATAAAAATTAGAATTAGTTTATTTTATTTAAACTAGGATTTTTCTATTTTAAAGCTTTCTTTACTTCTTTTTTATTCCGTTTTCATCATTTTAAATGAAATATCTTGGTAATTTTCTTAATCATCTTTGCATCAATTTTCAGTTTTTTATTTTTATTTATTTTTATATTATTTAAACAAGGATTTTTGTGTCATTGTTACGCCTCTGCCACATTAAAATTATAATGAAGATTGTGGTGGAGATGTAAATTTCTTCGTGAAGATTAGAGAATGCCGAGATGGTTGAAGAAATCAATCGAATAGCCTTGGACGAAACTGAACTTTGTCATGTGAACTTTTGTAAGATACGTAGCATACTAGCATTGAACTTTGTCGTCTAATAGGAGCGTGTGTAAAGGTTAAAATTAATCCAAATGCCATATTATTTAAATAATAAACATAACTTGTAAGGACATTAAATGTAAAGGAAAAGTGGATAAATACCTTTCAGATGTATGAGTCTAGATTTTAACCTCTAAATTAATTTTTATCTTTTATTCTTGATTAGTACCATTTGATTAATATAATTATTTGACTAAAAAGGATTTTAATCAAGAGTACGCAGTAAAAATTTAGACTCAAGCACTTTAAGAGTACGTTCAACAATTTTCTCTAAATGTAATTCTCATTCTCTTCTTAATTGCAAGCATTTAATGGAACGCATTATGAAATAGTCACTTATCTGTATGGGAAAAGTATATTTTTGTTATCCATCAGCGACGGATCCAGGATTTGAATCTAATCGGGTGATAATTAAAGACAACCCAAGTGGAGGAATGGGTCAAGTGGATAGTTAGCTGCATCCGTGACTGTCTACCATCGAATTTCTATTATTATTAAACCATAAAGTTTGATAATTGCACATGGGTCAAGAGGAAAAATATTGGGTGAAATTGCATCAAATAGCATATTCTATACATACTAATGAAGTTTATTGCATAAATGTAATTAAAAGTTAGAAAATAGCACATCACAATTAATTCATCTTTATTACGTATCAAAATAGCAAAAGAGAAAAGTACATAATTTGTCATGATTTTCTGGACACTTACTATTTATGTTATTTTAAATAATTGAGTGCCATTGTGATCTTTTATTTTTTTTATTAATTAAATGACAATTGTTTAATTAATTTTGAATAAAGTGACATAAATAATATTTTTTTTTACCATCTTGAGTGTATTAATATTTTTTTCCCGAGATAATATTCCTCACCCCTCTCTGTACCTGATATCTCTCTCTCTCTTCTCTGGATCTCACTGATTCCTCACGACTCTCTTTCTTTGTCCTTCCAAAATTTTCTCAATGCCTTTTGGATCAGAACTTGGAGCATACAATATAATACGTACAACAAGAGGACGTTTAGTTGATGGATTCAGAATCATGATTCAGAACTATTCTCGATTTACGTGTGTTTTTCGTGAGAAAAAATATTGTAGCGAGCCATGAACCATGATTCGAACCCTGACACGAATCCTTTAACCAAACGCACCAGAGTGTTAAGACCAGCAAATGTTTGCAAATTAAAGAAGATACTTTATAGCTAGTTAGGCCGTTTGTAGAACACTCTACTTCAAGAACAATTTTACGCAACGGATGCAATATGGAATTAATGAGCTTTCATATTACAGATCTACTGTAGAATTCTCCCTCTATAACTAATCGGTTGCAAACTTTTAATTAAATGGGAACCTCTAAGTAGAAAGTCGAATAGTGCTGTTGAGCTAAATTAGTATATAATGAGGAAAACTATTGGCAGAAGATGCACTTAATTTGTTTTTGGAAAATTCCATCAAATATGATTAGGAGTTTTGAGGGTTGCTAACCTAGTTTTGACGTCTTGATATTCCTTGATGCTAGTTGTTCTTTCTTGCCATTTATATAAAAAAGAAAACGACAGTTCCATCAAATATCCGGTAAAAAAAAAAGTCCATTTAAAAAGAAGCGAAAGAAGCCAAATGGAGGAAAATAATTAACTACTAATGCATATTGAAGTTCAAGTAGGCATCCATTACATTTTTATTAACACACACAACCATTTCCTAATTAATTACCGATCCACATCCACCATATAATATCACAAAGAGAGAAATGAAAATTTATTATGTACCCATAACTTTATTCAGTGACCAAAGGTGATTTTTATTTTACGTATGGCAATATGCTGTAGTAGAGATCATATTGCCATTATGAACTACGTGATTGATTCATAGACGAGGGGACTTCCGTATTGCAAGATTTCGTCTATGGACTACCTCCATCACCCGAGTTGGGAGAAGGCGGTGTAAATCTTTCCTTAACACCAGATCCGTGACCGATATCGTCAGGAAACCCGATCATCAGCAACCTCCTGAAAGATTAATGAAACGAAAACAAGAGTTTGACATGTTAATTGAGCTGATAAAGTGACTGGATTAATTAGCTAATTATAAATCAAGGGACTGTCCTTGCCGCTAAAAGGCGTTTAAGTTGTTAGATATTACCGGCTAAAGCGATCGACAAGCGGTGGATTCAAGAGAGTATCAACTATGATTAGGATGCAACATAACCATAATGCTAACCCTAATGACTTCATCTCCCTTTCGAATGTTCCGGCTCCTGTATAACGAGTTATGATAGATATTATTGACTACATATATATGCTTAAATATTAGCTGGCTAAAGACCAATAATAAAAGGAAAAAAATGTCAAAATATAGTGTAACACAACTGAAGAAAAAGGAGAGCTTCAGGGTATCTTCTCTTCGGCTTTTTTGTACATATTTTTTTTGGTTGACTAGTACTAGTTGAAGTCTAGTTGGTCAATTCTCCATGGCCTACCCTCTTATTTATTTGAAAATCATATCGTTATATTTAATTTTATCAACTAATATCTTAAAAAATGAACCATATTTTCGTCGCAGTAATGATCCAGATTCTTCTGGCGGCAAATGACTTTGGAAAAAGTTAGTAATATCCATTTTCTTCGTAGCATCCTTCAAAAGTTATGGCGAAGAAAGTTTCGTTGAGAGAACTTCCAAAATCTTTCTAGTTTCAGGGTCAAGGATCACTATAGATGATAGCGCCGCTAAGGAGAAATGTTAGCGTCACTCTTTTTGTCACTCTATTCATTCACTGTTTGATATGTAGACTCCACTATCTCATTTTTGATTAAATAATAATATCATGTTAGTGACAAAAAGTGAATTAAGAGAGTGAAAAAGAGAGTCAAACAGTGAATTAAGAGAGTAACAAAAAGAGTGACGCTAGCGTTCCTCAACTACCAAGAACTTGTAAATCTCCCCCGTTCATTTCACCGATTCGAGTTTAGAATTTGAGTTTTGCTACAGTAAAAAGCTCTCAGAAACAGTCACATCTAACTTTTTTGTTACAGTAAAAAGCTCTCACATAAAGTCACATCTCAAATCGAATTAAAAACTCGAATCAACGAATTAAACGGGCCCATATCTTTTTAATCAAGCGGCATTTTCTCGACGATATTTTTGTCATTGTTGTAATTTAATTCAAAATGAGAGAACCTAATGAAGCGCATCTTTACTCAGTGAATAGTCAATTATTTGGACTTTTTGATCATATTCTCCACTAGTTTAAAGACATTTTTCTATTGTTTGATTGAGATGTGAATATTGTAATTAACATAGATCGATCAAAAGGTCCTACTCGTTAAACTTTGGAGGGACCATCATGGGAACAATCAACAAGTTCTGGCTGATTTTTCTTCATTATACATTTTAGATCACAAAACTTTGGGGACTTTCATTGGTGAGGAAGGAAAAACTAAAAAGTGTTCTTGGACTTTGGTTACCGGTTTTCAAAAACGTTGAAGTCCATTTGCATTGTTTGGATCATAAGTTTGAACTTAGGGTATCAATATTGAGAATTGACAATATTGTTAGGCTAGAACAATAGTGATTTGGGCAAATTGGCAGGATTTTGCTGGCGTAAAAGGCGCAACATTTGTGGTTTCCTCGTATCGATCCAAGTCAGAAACCATATATAGTCGGTGGAAGAATGGTAGAGCATCACAAAGGGTGGCATACTATAGATATTGCACTTTTTAAGAAGTTGAGCTTCATCTTAAAAGGTGAAATCTATTAAGTAGAGTGGCCTAATGTCCTTATATGTTAATGTCATTTAAACGATGCGGGACTCAAATTTATTTTACCCTGTAAAGGGTTCTCCAACCAATCTGTATTGGATGAATCACGTTGCTCATTTGTGCTTGTTGGGCTCTAATACCATATAGAAATTGGATTTTAATTCTAAGGGTTTGAGCTTCCATTTTAAAAAATTACTGTGT